CTTTTAAGTTTTTGAAAATTCATTTATTTTGCTCCAAAACAATAAATGCGAGACTAGCACTCTATATTCAGTTTATTCCACTTTTGATCTGACAACTTGCTCTTGTTTGTCCAGAGGATCAACATATACAGACAAACCAACAAAACATATTGATTAGATCACTTACGCTTAAGAAACAAAAGGGAGAATCCAGTTCAAAGGATGTGAAGGGTGCAGGTGCAGCTGAAGGTTCTAGGAAGAGGTATGACTACCTTTTCCTTTTGGGATGAATGATGTATGGATTTTCTTGACAAGATCCACGTGTTTGTGTTCCAATGACCAAATTATTGTGAGGGTTTAGTTGTAGGCTTCAGCTCATAGACTGTTGTTACTAGACAATGTCTGTTACCAACTTACCATTCCTTCTTTTATAGTTTTTTTATTACTCATATGTGTATTTATCATTGTATTCAGTCTTAACTGGACCTGGTAAAGAAGATTGTGTGCAGTCTCATTTACCTTCTATCTTTTATCATTTAGGGTTGCTGAAAGAGTTTTGGATAGCAGAACTTCAGCTAAGAGAGCCGCTAGTCAAAGTAGTTCTCGACAAGGTAAGTTTCTATGATTTTTATATTGCAGTGGCTATTGCACAAACAGCACTCATTTGTAAGTGTATTGGTGTGATGGTCCCTTGAAGTCTATATTTAATGCTTCAACTTTAATGTTTCTATTTGCTGGTGACCAAATAAAAAACTTTAATGTGTCTTGTTCATAATTTTATTATCTTGTAAAGCCCTCACCTTTAAATTTTATCAAGTTTATTGCTTGTGAACGGTGGGAATTTATGGCCAATTGCATGGTTGTATGGTTTCATCGTGGTTTGAGATGATGACTAATCAAACTGATTGTTGTGGAGCAGGGATTTTTATTTTAATGCAATTCTTGTACAGTTTTGACTCCAAAGGTTCTGCCGTCTTATTACTTGTTGTGTGTACAATGTGAAATCATAATACTGATTGAATTTTGGTTGCTTGTGTTGACATCTCTGATTTAGTTATTGCATTCTATAGATGGAGTTGTATCTGTAATTTCTATGTAAAGTGGGTCGAGCTGTTCATTCTTCATTGGAGGACCCTATGATTCTTAAATTGAAGCGCTTTTTTCTTATTATCTGTTGGACATGCTTAATTCTTTTGAATTTCCCACAAAATGAATGATATTTATTAATCTTATTTGAGTTTGTAATTGCTGTAACATGCAGAGGGATCAGGCAGCAGCCAAGCATCTAGTAGGGACTTCCAGGGGTTAACTGTAGAGAGGCTCCGTGCCCTTCTGAAGGCTAAAGGTCTTTCTCTAAAGGGAAAGAAGGCAAGTATCAAGACAATCTAATCTCAACTCTTAAGTATATACTTAAAGGACCTATTTATATATGAACCAAATTGGGTTGTTTATGGTGTGTGGACCATTGGCAATTCAGATACGATAGCTTTCTTATTATTGTTTTAGTTGTTATTAGCAGAGACAAAACCTTCATCTGACTTTATTCATCCATGAAATAATGCTTGCAGGATGAGTTGATTGCACGACTGAAAAGCTCTAGTTGATCGTAGTTCAGACAGTGGGATATCAATTTCTGTTTTCTGTATGTGTACTCTTCTAGGGGAAGGAAAGTGGTTTGCTTTATTTTTATTATATATATATATATATATATATAAAATTTATATTTGTAACTTAGGAATGATGTAAGCTGGAATTATCGATCATTTAAAATGACAATGACAAGCTTAGAGACTGAGAAATGCATTTTGTATCATCATGTTCTATAAATTTTTTGGTCAAGACATCGCGTTCCATAAATTACATTTGGCTTATTTTATAGCATAACTTCCCAATATAATGAACTGCATACATGTTCTTATTGATTAGAAGTTAAAACAGTAACTGGTGTGAGGAATTCATCTTTTCAGTCAGTGGTGAAAGCTAGAGATGCTTTGCTTCCTTCAGGGGCTGCATGGGAATTGGGGGTGTTTTTAGCAACAAATCTGGCTATGGTGTCAAGCTGCTGCTAATTAAAATGTTGAAACATTTTGCCAAAATCTTGAGAAAGGAGTTGTGCTCAGCAGTTTAGAGGGTGTAAATAAAAGCACTAAAAAATAAATAAGAGAGAGCAGAGAGAACAAATTTTGTGAGATACGCAATCTAGCCCTATGGGCCCAGAGCCCACAACCCAAACTAGTTGACAAGATGCAATTGGCCCCAGAACGGAGTAGTTGCAAACAAACTGTATTATCACAATAGGGTTATATATACAAGGGGTCCAGAAAGCTTCTCTTTACGAATATGGACTTAAATATACATAAAACTATAATATAAAAGAATACATAAAACTATGCTTCAAAGTTATAGTACTCCCAACTTGTCGTCACTTACCTCGACGGATTCAATTCAAACTTTCCTCAAACCCAAAAAATAAAAAGAAAGTTGTCATAAAAAAAAGAAAAAAAAAAAGAAAGAGGACGGGGTAGGGGAGAATCGACATTTTGTCTTTATTAGGATTATCACATTACCGCGAGCTAAATCGAACTTGAGTGTAAAAGGGTAGATACTCTATGAAAACTAAGTGATTTAATCCACGTTTGCGATGTGTGAAAAAGTTGTGAGTGAGCCGTTAATTTACATAAAACTTATCAAACCACGTGCATCAATGATTGGTGTTCCGCATCTTGGACGGTGCAGCAGCACACGGCAGAGGTCCCTTTATATTTGAACTGGTTCACTATCATTTCTGATCAGAGAATTTGACTTATGGGAAGCTCCAAGTTGTAAACATGGTTTCGATTTTTTAAATTAAGCCTAAGTGGACCCTACTTGAGGCTTGTCCTCATTGGGAATACGGGCGCCGTATTGATGATATTGAAGGAAAATGATTGGATGCTGTCACACTATTACTTGCTGATTGGTCACTTATATTGTAATGAAAAGAAGATAAGAGAAGAGAAGAGAAGAGAGGAGGCTGACAAATGTGTCGATATCTTTACCCAAAAAGAGGAACAGCTTCAAAGCTAGTTTCCCACCAAACAAAATGAAGAGCTGGCTCACACATGACCATATGCCCTATTATTATATCCCAAATCGGTTGAAGAAATTAGTTTGTTATTACGTGTTATTGGAGATGCTCACTGAATTTTAATTTGTAATGACTATGTATAAAGTTATAATAGATTTTAACTGGACGGTGTGTATTACTCAAATAATTTGAGATAGACAAGTCCCGCCTCAAATGGGCGTAATCTCATATTACCTATTAATTATTTGATGGTTGTCGGTTGATTCTTTTTTTTCTTGTGTCGACTTCAAATGAGAACCTTGATTATGAGGCGTTTTAAAAATATCTGAATTTGAAGGTCGTTATTCTTAATTCAAATACAAGTTTGGCTTGGACATGGAAAATCTTTGTTATTCCTAATTCAAATAAGTTTGGCTTGGGCCTGGAAAATCTTTGTTGATGTTGTCTTATTACCTAATGGTATCTGTGATGCTGAGAAAGTAAACCAAATAAGATAAGGCACGTCTGAAATGAACGGTTGCTAATAGTTCTCCAAGTGCTAGTTCCACTTGGGGAAACAAAAACGTGCTTAATAATTTCCACGTGGGTTTTTTAAAATATATTTCGGCAGAGAATAAAGCCACGTTTAATAATAGGTAGCCCAGTTGTTTTTTTTATTTTCTTCTTCTTCTTCTTCTTTTCCATATGAATTGATACTTTATACGACGAAGTCAAAACTCAGAATTTGATGGAGAATTTCGAGTCTGTGTATGAAAGGTGGAGACTCAAAGCTGTGATTACTATATTAATTATTGTGTAGCACGTCCTTTGCTAATTTAATTACTCAAATTAAGGTCAAACTCTGGTGATTACTATATCTCACAGCCAATGCTATGAAGAGCTTCTATATATCATATATGCATGGTCATATCACAATCATAAAAAAACTTCATAGTTATAATAAACTATTGAATTCCGAACCTCTACATTTGAAGAGCATACCCGAGTCTTGAAAATATTTTTACTAATTTTCGTCATATTCTTCGTATGATCATCTCAACTAATACATGAGACATCTAATGCTATATATTTCTGTGTGTTATAATATAAAATTTATAATATATTAGAGTACGTACACAGGTGTGAAAACAATTGGGTTTTTAAAATGGTCATATTGAAATAGGCTCTTACAATTTGAACACAAAAAATACAACTTCTAAATAAAATTCAATTTTTTAAATTGGATGAAAGGTAGGATAAAATGTGTCTGTGTAATTTCACTTACTTATATGAGACAATCCAAATTAGTTCAAACCTCCTCTAGCTCGTGTAAATAGTAGGTACACACAAATAGATAAATGGTTGTTACTACATTATAATAATAACCTAATATGACATATGTGCATTATTCCATAATAGCTAGGTAACTAATTATTTACATTAGTGTTGTATGATATAGGAAATTTACTGGATACATTATTGAATAATGAATTCAAAACAATACCAACTCTAACACTATGTTAAATGTTTTTTTAATATAAAAATAATCGAGAGGTTATTTTAAAAAAAATCTAAAACATCGAGTTTTTTTAACAAAACTTGGTTAGTTAGATCTTAGTAATCGGATTTAAGTAACAAAAAATAAATACGGTATGTTTTATGTATTAAATAAAGAGATTTAAGGGAAAAACCTAAAAATTTTATTTTTTTAAAAACGACTTATTATTATTGTTGCACATTTTATACAAGTTGAGTAGAGACGGCTTCACCATCTCAAGATGTAGACCCTATAGCTACGGTTGAGTGGAGACCTCACACATTTATGGCTTCACCATCTCAAGATGTAGACCCTATAGCTACGCTTGAGTGGAGACCTCACACATTTATGACAATAAACTATTAGAAGTCTACCCCTAGGCATATCTCTATATATAATACCCCCCTTCTTGACCCTCATCCTTCATACTCAAAAACTCTCATTTCCAAACCAGAGTTTTCTCATCAAGGCAGCCATGTTTATCACTCTCCTCTTACTTTGGTCTCTACTTTTGTTCCTTCTCTACTTCTTGAAAACCATCCGAAAATCTCATACAAAATTACCCAAATCACCTTTGATCAATTCTCATGGCCCTCCTTCCTATCCCATAATTGGTTGCCTAATCTCATTCTACAAGAACCAGCACAACCTTCTTGATTGGTACACCAGTCTTCTCTCAAACTCGCCGTCACAAACCATAGTCGTGCGCCGAATAGGTGCACGCCGTACAATTGTGACAGCGAATCCATCCAACGTGGAGCACGTTCTCAAAACAAACTTCACAAACTTCCCTAAAGGCAAACCGCTAACTGAATTCCTCGGCGATCTTCTTGGCTGCGGCATATTCAACGTCGACGGCGATTTGTGGTCCACTCAGCGCAAGCTCGCGAGCCACGAGTTCAGCACAAAGTCACTGAGAGAGTTTGTGGTGAAGACTCTTGAAGAAGAAGTGGAGCACCGACTTATCCCACTGCTCGAGGAAGCTGCAGAGAGCAAAAGTGTGTTGGATTTACAGGAGATATTGAGGAGGTTTGCCTTTGACACTGTGTGCAAGGTGTCTCTGGGATCCGACCCATTTTGCTTGGACTTGACCCGACCCGTGCCCCCTCTTGTGGAAGCTTTTGACTGTGCTTCCGGGATAAGTGCCAGGCGTGCCACGGCGCCTTTGTATTTGATGTGGAAGGTGAAGCGTGCTTTGAACATTGGGTCTGAAAAAAAGCTCAAGGAAGCTGTTAAACTCGTTCATGGCTCTGTTCATGGTATGAAATTTCCACAATATTCTGCTTTTTATTTATTTATTAGAACAAAAAAAGATTGTTCATGGTTCTAGATATCAATTTATCTGTATTATCAATATTTTATCAATTTTTAATACGTATTGACAACGTACTTGATACTGTAGATTGTCAATCTATACGTCGCTTTAGGTTTCTTTGGCCATTGATAGTTAATTCTTTGATTTGATTTTGTTGCAGAAATCATCCAAAACAAAAAGAAGATTCTTGAAAAAGATGAAGGATGTGAAAGCCATGACATGTTGTCACGCTTGTTATTAGCAGGGCATGGCGAGGAAGTGGTAAGAGACATGGTGATAAGCTTCATACTAGCTGGACGAGACACCACATCAGCAGCCATGACGTGGCTCTTTTGGTTGCTCAGCAAGCATCCAAGCATAAACCACCAGATTGTGAATGAAGTTGAAAACGTACTAGGACAAAACACTAGTACTGAAAAATTAGGTTTCGAGGATTTACAAAAAATGAGGTTTTTGAGGGCTTGTTTGTGTGAGTCTATGAGGCTCTACCCACCAGTCCCATGGGACTCAAAGCATGCTGAGGTGGACACTGTTTTGCCAGATGGTACCTGGGTTGGGAAGGGGGATAGAGTCACTTATTTTCCATATGGGATGGGGAGGATGGAGGAGTTGTGGGGCAAAGACTGGTTCGAGTTTAACCCGGACCGGTGGTTTGATATAGAACACGGTTGTGATGATGGTGGGGTTTTGAAATCCATCAGTCCATACAAGTTTCCGGTTTTTCAGGCCGGTCCAAGGGTATGTCTTGGCAAGGAAATGGCTTTTATTCAGATGAAGTATGTGATGGCGTCGGTACTGAGGCGGTTTGAGATCAAACCGGTTTATGAGAAAGAACAGCCGATTTTTGTTCCTCTATTGACGGCTCACATGGCTGGTGGGTTGAAGGTCTTGGTTCGAAAAATAAATTAGAATGGCAATACAAAAATTTCTATGTAAACTCATTTAGTCAATCAATATTTGTGCACATTTGTACTTGTTTTGTTAGCTTTTGTTTTTTTTTTCATTAACGATGGAATTCAAACTTGAGACGTCTTCTTTTGTTAGTTAAATTTGTTGAAATACAAAATCACGTCTTCCAAAAATGATAGTTATAACAAGATAAATTTGGCATAAATGGTTCGTTTTAAGAAGTTACACGAGTTTAACTTGCTTTTTCAATTCAAATAAACTCAAGTCCAAACTTATACAATTGAGCTAAAGCCCCACACACTGTAAATCAATTTGACATACGCAAACTAAAGATCAAAGATTCCAGTAGGTTTAGGTTAAATTCCGGCACGCTGAACAACTTGAATTTCACCTAATCTTGATCGAATTCGATACCAAAAGAGAAAAAAGAAAGAAAGAAAGGAATAAAAAGAAAAGAAAAGAAAAATCAAAACGCGTATGAATAAAGCGGCATACATGTGGAGTGTCACAAGTGTGGCTCCCAAACTAGGCTGCATGTAACTAATAATGTAAGCAGAAGTCTAGCAGACTAGACAGCATACACGTGCATGTGGAGGAGCTCCGTTCAAATATATTTGCAGCTACGACACAACATGCTTTCTTTGTTTCAGAAGTATATACCAATCTGAACTGGACCCTGCAATTCAATTCATAAAAAGGGGACGTCGTACAACGTACAAACCCCGATTTAGATGAAGCGAAAATTCTACAGCGGAGTTTTCCAGGATCCATGTTCACCTCATTTTCAGCAAGCAGAACTTTAGATGGCCACAAAAACCCATGTGGAATCCTTAGAGAGCTACGAGTTTACAACATTTTCAATAGATTTCACCTGCCTAGACAATGCAAATGGGTTGGTGCCACGTGTAATTCATCTTCGAGAGTTCTATCAACATTCCTTGTTGATGAATGATTGACCGTCCTCCATTGATATAAACTTCCCAGGCCACGTTTGAGTCCGATTGATTTGACGTCGAGTGCGATGTGTATGTATATGTAAGTGATTTGATGGAAGTTTTAATAGATTTTACATCTATTAATGGCATGTTTACTGATCCGTTATTGGATTATGATGAATTGAATTGATGAGGAGTTGGATTGAGGATAATTATATTCCGAATTCCTATTGAAGTTGTTTACTAAATCATATGGATTGAAGAGAGTTAGATTTTGGATTCTTATTGGAGTTGTTTACTAAATCATATGGAATTGAGGTAGAAGTGGTTCTAATTACTAAAATGTCCTCGTTGTTAGGTTAAAGTAAATGACAAATTTGGAATTTTTAAAATTGTATGAGCATATAATGAGTAAAAAAAGATGAATTCCTAATAAGTTAGCCCTACTGACTTTTTAATTTCTTGATATGAAGTAAATGCATTCATTTTTCATAGGTGAAATTTAATTCCTAATGAGAATTCCAATTTCTGATTAGTAAACACACCATCATAGTTGAAAGTTCCAGTCTGTCCACCCCCTTCACCTAAGTTTGAATTCCCTTTCCACAAATTAGGTTAGTAATTTAGAATATCGTATTATTAAAAAGAACAAATAGAACAATTGCACACGTGAAAGTTAGGGCACTTATTTTGGGGTCAATAATTAGAAGCAGATTCCATTCTTGTACCATAAAGCAAATCCCACTCAACCTTCTGAAATGTACATGACATCTGACCGATGGGGCTGGTACCGTATGTGTGCATTATTTGGCATGTAAAGTCAAGCCAGTGCTGGGACACACAACGTCAAAATTATGGGCAATGGGCATCCAAGAGCATGAGTTGGGGGATGAAGCTTTTGCATAAAGTTTTTTTTTTCTATAATGGAATGGAAGACTACGCTTAAGTTTGGCATTGCTGTGCTGTGAAAATAATCGCTATCAGATTTGCTGAGAGAGAAATCAGTTGTGAGAGAAAACAGTTTGGCGTTTGGTAAATTTTTTGTTAAAAGTGTTGTTGATGTTGATTTTACGCATAATCAGAAAATGAAAGCACCTAATTAGCTGCTTTCCCTTATAGCTTTCTCTCACAGCAATTTTTAACAATAAGTGATTTTTTCGCAGTTTATCAAACGGGTTGAGCTTCTCAAATTTTTTAAGAAATCACTTATCACCCCAAATAAGCAATGTCAAACTGGCACTACATATAGAATAACAAAAAACACCACCCTCAACCCATGTGTTTCAAGTCTTTCAGCCATATCACAAGAAAAAGGTCTACAAGACCAGACACTCAGCATCACCAAGCAAAATTCAGGCAAAGAAACAATATTATGTTTTCCATTAATAAAAAAGAAAAATATATATATATATATATATATTTTTCTTTCCACGGGTGGTCGTATATCATCATAAATCTAATACAATTAAGAAGAATTTCTACTAGAAAGCTACTCAACGTACGCTTTCTGTCTACAGTATTTCAATACTCTCCTAATAAAAAGGGAAAAGATTGAATTGAAGAAACGAAATAAACATGAGAGGAAACAACAAGACCTAGATATTTTGGAAAACACACTACTGCCATTTATTGAAAATTAGGCAATTCCTTATTTCAAGTGCTTCCGGGAGCATCACTTCCCGCCGACTTACGGTTCAAGTAACGAATAACAGCATCCTCAACCCTGAAAAAAGAAACACCAAAATGGAAATTAATTCTGAGAAAATGATGGCAAACTTCCTAATTTATACATATAATGCCTTGACTCTATTCAGTTTCCATGACAAAGGTTGAAGTCCTACCAT